ATTGCCAGAAGCGTGGAAGCTGTGGCGGTGAAGCTGGGATTTGAGTCGGATATCTACGTCGCGAACACGCTCATCGATACTTTCGTCAAGTCCGGGAGCTTGGACGATGCTCGGCGGGTGTTTGAGAGGATGAAACACCGCAGCGTCGTCTCCTGGACGAGCTTGATGATGGGATACGCACAGATTGGACGAGGAGAGGTCGCGCTGGAGCTCCTTCTTCGGATGGATTCCAGTGGGTGCAAGCCAAACGCGAGAACGTACGTCGCCACCTTGAAAGCTTGCACCAACATGGCCACCAGGGAAGAACCAAAGATGAAAAGTTTGGAGATGGGGATGGCTCTTCACTCCCGGCTGGCGAGATCTGGCTATGACGCAGAGATTTTCGTGGCGAGCACGCTGGTGGATTTCTACGCAAAGTGTGGGAGCATCCAAGACGCGGAGCGGGCGTTTTGGAGAGCGCAGTGCCGCGACCTGGTGCTGTGGAACGCGATGGTGATGGCTTGCGCGCTGTGTGGACGAGGAGACCTTGCCTTGGAGTTCTTCCGGAGCATGCAAGAGGTAGAAAAATTCACTCCAAACGCGAGAAGTTTTGTCTCCGCCTTGACGGCTTGTTGTGACTGTGCAGCCAAGGAAGCTGGTCAGCGTCTCGCTTCCTCGAGCTCGATGAAGGGTGGACGGCTTTTCAAGCTCAAGTCTCTGGAGAGAGGCATGGCTCTTCACTCGGAGCTTGCAAATGGTGGCTACGAGATGGATGTTTTCGTGGCCAACACTCTGGTCGACTTCTACGCCAAGTGTGGAAGCATGGACGACGCGCAGCGGGTCTTCAACCGGCTAGAGAAGAGGTGGAGCGTCGTGTCATGGACAGCTCTCATCCTTGGCTACGCTCAGAATGGAGATGGCGAGATTGCGCTCGAGCTTTTCCAGTTCTTTACGAGATTGGATCAGTGCCAGCCAAATTCAAGAACCGTGGTGGCTGCTCTAAAGGCCTGTGCGGAGCTCTCGGCGAAAGAACAGGGCCAGGTGATTCAAGGCAAGGTTATCAAGCTAGAGTCCATGGAGAAGGGATTTTCTCTCCACGCCGAGGCAGAAAGGATGGGGTGTGACTCGGAGCTTTTCGTGCAGAACAGCCTTGTGGATATGTACTGCAAGTGTGGAAGCATGGAAGACGCTAGCCGGGTGTTTTGGAGGATGAGAAGGCGTGACTTGGTCTCCTGGAACGCTCTCATCCTAGGATTCGCACAGAACAGCAGCAGCGAGCGAGCATTGGAACTCTTCGACCTCATGCAAGTGAAAGATGGCTTGAGACCTGATGGAGCAACTTTCATCGCTGCCTTGAAAGCCTGCGCAAACTTTCCAGCGAAAGATAAAGCTCTTGGCCTGGAGAGGGGCGTGGCAATCCACACTCAGATCTCAGAGCTTGGCTGCGAGTGCCAGATTTTGGTGGCAAACACGCTGGTGGACATGTATGCCAAATGCGGGAGCTTTTCCAGCGCGAGGAGAGTTTTCGAGAAGATGGAGAACCGTGACTTGGTTTCGTGGAACGCGATGATATCGGGCTATGCTCAGGCCGGAGAGGCGGAGCTGGCGCTCGAGCTCTTTCGGCGGATGCTGGAGAACGGGTCTTTCGTTCCGGATGGAGTGACTTTCATGGCGGCTTTGAAAGCTTGCGGGATCCTGGGAGCTCTCAAGACAGGGAAAGAGATCCACGCGGAGATCCGTGGTGGTGATCCCTTGGAGGAGCACAAGCAGCAGCTCGCGTCCTGTTTGATCGATTTCTACGGAAAGTGTGGAAGCATGGTGGATGCAATGGAGGTTTTCCAAGCTATGGAGACGAGGAACTCGGTGGCGTGGAACACAGTCATGGCAGGATTTGCAAAGCAAGGCAATACTGCTCGAGTACTGGAACTCTTCGAGAAGATGGTGGAAGAAAGAATCCGGCCCAGCGGCGTAACTTTCCTGTTGATCCTCACGGCTTTCAGCCATGCCGGCCTCGTAGACAAGGCGAGGGAGTTCTTCGAGCTCATGAAAAAGTTTGGAATCTCGCCGGGCCTGGATCACTACACTTGCATGGTGGATCTCTTGGGACGAGCAAACCGCCTGGATGATGCCTTGGAAACCATAGAAAGCATGCCTGTGGAGGCCGACAAGACGATTTGGCTCGCGCTCTTGGCTGCCTGCCAGAAGTGGAGGAATGTGAGAATTGGAAGGGTGGCGTTTGAGGCCGTGATGAGATTGGATGGCCGGGAGGGAGCAGCCTATGTGTTCTTGGCCAACACTTACGCAGCTTCCAGCTTTCCAGACGATGGAAGAAGAAAGAACACGCTGCTGGAGAACAGATCTTGAGGGAACACCGTCATACAAAGTTTGATCTTTTGGAATAGCAAGATAACCTCTTTTATTTCTTTGAGATTGTGAACTTTAGATATAGATCTTCTCCACTGCTCGCCCGCATTCATGGCGAGTGATGCGATGAAGGATCTCGCTCTCGTCGCGCGATCCTCGCCACGATGCCTTCCATTCTTTTGCCCTCCAGGCCTGGAATGTGAAGAAGCCACATATATATACACCAATGCTTAATATTTTTATTTTTAAACATGAGGTTTGAACGACGGCAACATGGTACCCCTCCCTGAGTAAAAGTCAACTAGTAAATACTTCATGTCTATAGTTATTGATAAATGTTCCCAATTCTTCTTATACTCCACAACAAGAATTTTTACTGGCTGAAGTAGAACAAGAACGCTTTAATATAAAAAATCCTTGCTGATCATCCAACTCAAGGGTAAATTCTTTACTACCTTTTTCGTAATGCATGCATTAAACTACCACACACCCATTTTCCGGCTCTCTGTAAATTAATGCTGAGACATTGTCTAGTGTGTTATCCACATGACGAGATATTGCTGATGAATGCTTAATAATAAGCAAAAGAGAAAAAACATTTATTACAAATATTATTTATTGATTGTATTTTATTTCCGTAAGTTCATATCTAAAGTTTTCCCCCAGCTTATAGTTTATTAAATTTTTGAGCTTTGTGTGAAAATTTGAAGTTTGAAACTATCATATAAAGTGTAAGAAATACCGAAAAAATTTGATACTCATACGATGCACTTCGTGAAAATATCATTCACTTCTTCACCCCATTTAGGCCGGCCGTACTTCCGGTAACACGATCCTAGATCAAGATCGAAAACTACCTGTGAACGGCTCCATAGTGCTTTAAATGAAATTCCATCCATCAACTTGGCAAATAAAGCTTTTTTGCAAAACTTCCGGCTCCAATCAGTGAAAAACCAGGTGCACTCTTCTCAGTGAGGAGGTTGATCACCACTTCTCGCGTATCTCCGGGGCTTCCGGTGGTAGACAAGGATTTTCACTGCGTTGGTGTTCTGTCCAGGAAGGATAGAACCAAAGGCTCTAGAGGGGTATGTATCACGATAGATTTGGCAAGGTTCTCTTCTATTCCTTCCAGTTCAAGATGCCTATTCGGGAAGTGATGAGCTCGCCTGCCATCACCTTATCTGCTGACAAAACTGTATCCGGTCAGTCTAGTTTCTTAGTAGAAAAAGAAAAGAAAGAGGAGTTAAATCTAACACCGATAGCACAGATGCTGCCATGTTCATGCTCAAGAGCAAGATCCATCGGATTCCTATCGTTAACAACTCGGACCAAGTCAGTGGTAATGTGTTTTCCCGTCTCGATCTCGCTGAGCTCGTCAATTTTCCAGGCATTGTCACGAGAACTGATATCTTCACAGCAATGGAGGGAGGATCTTAGCGATGGAACTCCACAACTTACAAACCCACGACATTGTGGCGACATTGACGATCAAAAGAACTTTGTCTCCGTATTTACTCATGGAAACCTTCTTGCCGTGCTTGTCCTGTGAATCGATCAAAAAAGAAGAAACAAAAATGCAATGAGTTGGATGGTCTAACAACGATATCCCTGTGAATATGCTTTTCCAATGAAAGTATAGCTAATCCGTTGTAGTCTAGTTGGTCAGGATACTCGGCTCTCACCCGAGAGACCTGGGTTCAAGTCCCGGCAACGGAAGATTCTAGAACTGGAATCTGAAGCAGGAAATCAAAACTTTTTATTTATCCTCTTTGTTTTCTCGCTTCCATTCCAATTTCTCATTTGATCCATCCAGGGCGTGTTCTTCGAAAATGTACAAGGAGCTCAACGAGCTCCACGTAAAATACGTGGACGAAGGTCCGTTTGATCTTGTGTGTCTTTGCTCCAAGCTATAGCTGCGAATGCAGTCGCGATTCACCAGGGCTAGAGATTCTGGCATTCCCGTGCAACCAATTCGCCGGGCAAGAGACACTCCAAGAGACGGTCTCGACTCGATTTGGGCCACACTTCCCACTCCTTGAAAGGGTACAAGAGGAATTTGATAGAAATCTCTCACTTCCATGGTGATGTTTGATCCACAGGTGGATGTAAATGGCCCAAGCACCGCAGTTCCTCAAGGAATTTCACGTTTGATCAATCGAACCGGTGGAATTTCTGGGAGATACGCTCCCCACATACCACAATACAAATTGGAGGTTAGCTTTCATTCTCGCTATTTTAGTGAAGATATCAAGAGCCTGCTCCCATTTCAGGAAGAAAAGAAAAAGATTGCAGGAAGAGCCCTAAAAGTTTTTGTACTTTTTTACTAGGGTGGCAGTGTGGTTTATAGGGTTCTTCAATTCTTGGGGGCATCAGGGAGGCGCCAGGTATGGCATGCGGTCAGGGGCGCCTCAATTGCTGCTACATCGACTCTTTCTACCAGCAGCAGCAGCAGCAGCATCGGGGTGTGGCATTTTTCGCGGGCGGGATTTGGAGCTCGCTGTAAGCTAGCCCCTAGATTGCCCAAGAAAGTGCTGGCGGTGGATGTGCACCAAAATGACGGAGCAGCAGCAGCAGCGAGCGCCGCTCGAGTGTAGCCAGGACGTGATCGATGCCTGTTCGTCCACACTTATCATCGAGTTCCTGTGGAGTACTTGGCCATGGCGGCTGGGATCGCTGTGAATTCCCTGGGGCATGGCGATCTGCTGTGGCTGAAAGCCGTCTTGGAGCAGGCTACCACGCTCGCGCATGTCAGCAATGTGTATCACTCCTTGCCTCAGGTATGAAATCTTTTTGTCGATGTGTTTGCATGGAAGGTCCAAGAAAAGTTCTTCTAACTGTTCATGGTGGTTCCAGGTGAGACTCGCAGAGGGATTGGTCCAATCCTGCTTTGCAGATCGCGTCTTCTTCTCCAACTCTGGCCCCGAGGCCAACGAGGCCGCAATCAAGTTTGCGAGAAAGTACCAGAGGGTGAAAGCCAAAGAGAAGAGCGACAAGCAGGCATTTCCTCCTCATCTGGTGGAAGATCCCATCCCCACGGACTTCGAGGCCTTCTCCAATAGCTTCCACGGGAGAACTCTGGACAAGTACTGGGCTCCGTTCGAACTTCGTTCGCCCGGGGTCAAGTTTGTGGAGTTCGGTAACTTGGAAGCCGCCAAGAAGGTCGTCCAGCAGCAAAGAAGTGTTTGTATCTAGCCGGTCCAGGTCGACGGTGGTGTCTATCCAGCCATTGGCCGTTAAAATAAGTCTAGGTAAGTAAATAATTTAGGACTTGTGGACAATGGAGAAGAACGTACGACATTTAAATTTTGTAACCATTGCAGAAAGTTCTTGGGACTTTTGAACTCACTTCTACAATAGGATGATATTATGGAGAAGGCTATAGAAAAAGGTGGAAGTGTTGGATGGCAATCCATATATGTCAAATGTGGGCGGCATTGAAGGATTCTCACGGGGTTACTCACAGGGTTTATGACAAGCTTCCCACTACCATTAAAAGTCAAAAGTCAAATGTTTGGAATATGGTAATTGGCTATGGCTGTGTCATAGTATCACAAGTACACTTGTCAACATGTATGCAAAATGCCAAAGCCTTGCACATGCTTTATATGAATGCTGCTTGTGGGGATGTTCTTGCCTAATGCTTGTGGTAGCACATAAAACATGCATTCTAGAAATAAAGATGAAACAAGAAGAAGACATTGACTATCTTCCTAAACTTAGACTTTTGTAAAATTATTGCAAACAATAGCAATTGTGAAGCTTAGAAGTCTACATAGTAATAGTTATAGTTAAATTATATAATAATTGATAAATTATTCTTCAATGAGATCATAAGCATAAGGACAGGAGTATATCCTTTACATGATATTATTGGTGCATTTTCAAATCCTGCTCTTTCAACTGTTTTTTCATTAGATATTTATTTCTTATTATTATTATCAATTTAAATTTTGAGTGCAGGTCGCTAGGTAGAATATGATCCAAATACTCCAACCATGCATTCCCCTCTAGATAGCATGGAGTTATTAGTATCAATCCAACTGTAGGAGGCAAAACAAGTTTTCTCCCAAATAACACACAAAATGGCAAAATTGGAAATATAACAACCACCAATTTCAATTCAAATACTGTGGATTTATATATTTTACAAGCATTCTTTTGAATGTCTGATTGAGCCATTCCATCAATCCATCTGTCTTAGGATGATAAGTTGATGTACAGAATTGCTTAATATTGAGCCCCCAACATTAACACTTTAAGGACTTCAGAAGTTGGGCCACAACCTTGATTCAAAAGGATATGCTTAAGATAACTATGTCATTATAATACCATTTGCACAAGGAATTGTGCAATGGAATTTGTTATTGTATTTAATAGTGCACACACCTCAACCCACTGAGCAAGGTAATTAAATACAATGATAACATACTAATATCCCATAGTAGACTTTGAAAATGGCCCATCAAGTCATATACAACCAATTCAAATGGTTGTAAAACTTGAATTGGTTCTAACAACCCCCTAGTTGGCATTGTGGATATGTTAAAATGTTAACAACAAGTCTTGATATACTTCGAAACATCTTGGTGTAATTGAGGCCAATACAACTAATGCTAAACATTTTTTAATATTTTGTGATATCCCAAATGCCCAAACATGGGATTAATATGGAAAAATTGTAACCACTGGTTGATATAAATCTTTAGTGCAACAAAGTGATATTTAGCACCATCACTAACATATACCAGCATATCCTTGACAATATTAAACTTCTTGGCATATATACAAAAAAGTTTTAATCATCACATGGCTCATTGCCATCCAACACATTTTGCAACCAATAGATCCAAGGCTCCTCCTTCTAAGCAATCACTACTTGCTTATGGCTAGGCAACATATTCTCTTGAAGTGGAGAAGGCAAACCCTCCATTAGTGCCACCACCAATAGTGTATGAGATAAAACATCCACATCAACCATATTATACCCAAAGCGATGCACCATTGTGAATCTATAGTTTTGAAGTGTTAATGCCCATCTTATTAACCAACCTTACAGATTCTTACACTTAAAAATTGATGTTATAACTGTATAATCAATTTTAAGCAATGTATCAAATCCATAAAGATATGCTTGGAACTTTGAAAATGCCCATACAATGGCCAAACATTTCTTATTTATTGCAAAATAGTTCTTTTCCATATTAGTGAGAGAACGGCTAGCATAAACAATAGAATACTATTATTTGGAGCTATCACAAAAATCTTGCATTATATCAGCACTAAGATCTATGTCAAAAGCATCTGTACAAAGGATAAACCCATAAGAGAAATCAAGATACCTCAAAACTAGTGTTGAAATCAAAAACTTCTTAAGCTCCTCAAAAGCCTTCTAGCATTTTCAAGACTATACAAACTTTATATCCTGTTAAAGAAAATTATGCAAAGGAAAAGCAATTTGGGAAAACCTTGGCACAAAACAAACTATCCTAAGAACCGATGTGCTAAGTAGGAAGGTATGGGGGTCATGGCATAACTTTGGGCATGAACTTAAGTGAAACCAACTCAACAACATTTTGAAGGGTTAAAAATTCATCTATAACCTGTGTGTTTTCGAGATCTAACCACACTTTATCTTGGGAGATCACGAAGCCCAAGTATTTCAACGAGTCTTGCCCAAATTTGCACTTTGGATGCTTAAGCTTGCCCAAATTTGCACTTTGGATGCTTAATGTTTCTCAAGTTTTTGAATATTTTTTCCACATGACACAATTAATCTTCTTACATGCTATCAATATGGATCAATTAGTTATCAAAATAAGCATGTGCAAATTCTTCAAACCCCTCAACCATCTCATCCATCTCATCTATAATATGTTGAAATGTGGCAGGAGCTCCTATTAACCCAAATGGTATTATTGTGAACTTATATAAACCTTTCAACATTTTAAATGCCTTTGCAACATCAATTGGATCCATAGGTATTTGCTAATACCCAAAGTTAAATCCAAGATAGTGAAATATCAATTGTTCCAAAGCACATTCATTAAATCATCAACCCATAACAAAAGATAGGAATTAACAACTATAACATTATTCAGAGGATGGTAGTTAATTGTAAAATACTTGATATCATCTGGTTTTGGATTAAAGTGTGGCTCTGCAACCTATTGTAGCGTATGTGATCATGGGATGAGATTTGAATATACTGTCATCATAGATTCGTAGAATCTTGGGGAATAAATAGGGATAAAATAGCCACTAAAGGCTCTTTCATTAAGCAATTGCCCATTTTTTAATTGGCTTAAGGGGAGAGAGATAAAGTGTGCTATATGTGGTATTGGAGTAAATGGCATGGATTTAATTCCCATTGATTAATGGTTACTTAAAAATATAATGTACCTTTGAGCAAGGTATATTCCTACCTTTAAATTTGAAATTATACATATTGAGCATCCATGCGTACGTCCTTCCTCTTGTGTAGAGTATCCACAGATGAAGGTATCTATCATAAGGCTGCAGTACGGGTGAATAATTAATTGCCTCACATGGAATAATTGATTTACACAATGGAAAGATTACTCTATAATTAATTGCCTCACATGGAATAATTGATTTACACAATGGAAAGATTACTCCACAGACGAAGGTATCTGTTATAGGACTACAGTACGGGTGGATAACTAATGGAAAGATTACTCCACAGACAAAGGTATCTATCATAGGATTACAGTACGGGTGGATAATTAATTGTTTTACATGGAATAACTAATCTACACAATAGAAAGATTGATAGATTTAATGTGAAAATGGAAGTGTTGGTTCCCTTAGAAATAGAGGTTGTTAGTCAATAGTCACCTATGCATTACACCTATGGGCTTTATGATTTTCAAATGACTCTTAAATATAATATCTTTGTCACACACTTATTCATCATGATTTTTTCCTAAGGGGATTGCCAACAAAAACCCATCTTAAGGGCATGTATATCACTTCTAGTCGATAAATGGGGATAAAATAGTTATTAAAGACTCTTTTATCAAATAATTACCCCTTTTCCAATTAGTTTAAGGGGAGAATAAATATAGCATCTCTATCACACACTTATTTATCATGACTTTTTCCTGAGGGATCGCTAACAAAAACCGATCTTAATAGGGCATGTATCTCACTTTTGGTCTATAAATACCATACAAAGAGGATGTGTATATGAAATCTCATATAACTGCAAAGTGCATACCACTAAATGACTTATGGAAGAAATCACCAAGCCAACCAAAACCATCATGGGTGTACTATCAATCTTGCCAGAGAAGACAAAGATAAACCTTTCGTCATCCATCAACTCTATCCCACACATTGAGAAAAAAAGTGGAGGAGAGCTCATGTGCTTTGGAGAATGCAAAGCTGTCAAAGTTATGCACTTTTGAGGGGGGATGTAGTGACTGAAAGTGCATGAGTGCTCACACACTTTTGAGAAGACCAAAATCGAGCTCCAATCTCAGAAAGCTCCAAGTAAAATACATGGACGAAGTTCGGTTTGCACTTGGGTGTCTTTGCTCCAAGCTATAGCTGCGAATGCAGTCGTGATTCGCCAGGGCTAGAGATTCTGGCATTCTCGTGCAACCAATTCGCCGGGCAGGAGACACTCCAAGAGAGGAAGAAAAGAAAAAGATTGCGGGAAGAACCCTAAAAGTTTTTGTACTTTTTTACTAGGGGCAAATGGCAGTGGCAGTGTGGTTTATAGGGTTCTTCAATTCTTGGGGGCATCAGGGAGGCGCCAGCTATGGCATGCGGTCAGGGGCGCCTCAATGGCTGCTACATCGACTCTTTCTACCAGCAGCAGCAGCAGCAGCATCGGGGAGTGGCATTGTCGCGGGCGGGATTTGGAGCTCGCTGTAAGCTCGCCCCTAGATTGCCCAAGAAAGTGCTGGCGGTGGATGTGCGCCAAAATGCGGCCACGCAGCAGCAGCAGCAGCGAGTGCCGCTCGAGTGTAGCCAGGACGTGATCGATGCCGAGGCGAGGCTGTTCGTCCACACTTATGATCGAGTTCCAGTGGCGTTTGTGAGGGGGCATGGATGCAAGCTCTACGACATCGATGGGAAGGAGTACTTGGACATGGCGGCTGGGATCGCTGTGAATTCCCTGGGGCATGGCGATCCGCTGTGGGTGAAAGCCGTCTTGGAGCAGGCTACCACGCTCGCGCATGTCAGCAATGTTTATCACTCCTTGCCTCAGGTATGAAATCTCTTCTCGATGTGTTTGCATGGAAAACTTCTTCTGTTCATGGTGGTTCCAGGTGAGACTCGCAGAGAGATTGGTCCAATCCTGCTTTGCAGATCGCGTCTTCTTCTCAAACTCTGGCACCGAGGCCAACGAGGCCGCAATCAAGTTTGCGAGAAAGTACCAGAGGGTGAAAGCCAAAGAGAAGAGTGACAAGCAGGCATCTCCTCCTCTGGTGGAAGGGCCCATCGCCACAGACTTCGTGGCCTTCTCCAATAGCTTCCACGGGAGAACTCTGGGAGCCCTGGCGCTGACGAGCAAGGACAAGTACCGGGCTCCGTTCGAGCCAATCATGCCCGGGGTCAAGTTTGTGGAGTTCGGCAACTTGGAAGCCGCCAAGAAGATCGTCCAGCAGCAGAGAACCGCGGCGGTGTTTGTAGAGCCGGTCCAGGGCGAAGGCGGTGTCTATCCAGCGATTGGCCATTTCCTCGAAGGCCTTCGAGCGCTGTGCTCCAGCACTGGAACTCTCCTAGTCTTTGACGAGGTACTCTCTCTTTTTGTTTCTTTCGTCAACTCCTCCAAAAACTTCCAGGTCCAGTGCGGTCTCGGCAGAACTGGAAAGCTATGGGCTCACGAAGCATACGGCATAGAGCCGGATATCATGACTCTGGCCAAGCCGCTTGCTGGGGGGTTGCCGATTGGAGCTGTCCTCGTGACTCAAGCAGTAGCGGACGCCATCGTTCCAGGCGATCACGGCAGCACTTTCGCCGGGAGTCCTCTGGTTTGCAGCGCGGCTCTGGCAGTTCTCGATCGTCTCCAAGAGCCCGGCTTTCTAGACAGCATCGCAGGCAAAGGCAACCATCTGCGAGAGCTCCTGACGCGAAGACTGGCACCGTTCGCGCACGTAAAAGAAGTCCGTGGTGCCGGGCTGCTGGTTGGGATTCAGCTGGACGTATCGGCGGCGCCGCTGGTGACGGCGGCTCGCAGCAAAGGGCTGATCGTTCTGACGGCGGGGGCCGGGGACGTGGTGAGGCTAGCGCCGCCGCTGGTCATCTCGGAGGCGGAGCTGGAGCACTGCGTGGAAATCCTCGTGAGCTGCATTTCTTCTCTGGATTGATGAAGAGCCTTCGGAGAAAAACACAACTCGGCCACGGCTCTAGTTGGCCGCCCAAAATCCTTGACGAAGCGATCCGATACACGACACTCTTAGTCAAGAAGGGTTTAAGTTCCTCGTCTGGACTCCAACGATCCTTGATTTTGTTCTAATTCCTGCTTCTGGAATGTGGTACCGCGATAAAGTAGACGGTCTCTCGCTTCTCCACACACACACATCTTATCTATGCCCTACGCTCTTTGCAAATGGCTCCTCGTCTCCTCACACTTTTGATCTTGATGGTGGTGACTCTGGGAGTGATCGAAGTGAGTGGTCTCGATCCTTTTTTGCCGTGATAGAATGAAACAAACAAGAGAGCGAACCCTAGGCCAACCTCCCAACCCTTAAGGTTTTTTGCCGTGATAGAATGAAACAAACAAGAGAGCAAACCTTAGGCCAACTTGTGTTACAGCCTTAAATCCCACAGGCCATGGAATATTTTCGGAATATTTTTGTGGTTCTTGTTATTTTCCCCTCCCTCATGACCCAGCCAAATGAGCCTCATATGAAGGGAGTCCAAGGCAATACGGCCATGGAGAAAAGATGTGCAAACGGCAACACTAACATCGTGACAAACAGCCACGAAAGAAAGAAAGTAATATAGCTTTCTCACATGACAATACAGTCATAGAAATAAGAGAATGAGAATAGAATAAATGGCTCAAATCATATAGTAATATGTCTATAGAACTCAATTCTCCCCTTCCTCAGGAATGTTATCCAAGTCATAACCAAAACTCGGAAACACTCTCTTCACATCATCCTCAATTTCCCATGTAGCTTCATCCATGGAATAACCATTCCATTGAACTAACAACTCCCTAGTTGTTTTCCAGCGTGGTGAAATCCCTAGTTGTTTTCCGGCGTGTTTTCACCAATCTTTGAGTAAGAATATTGGCCGAACCAGCCTTCTATAAGCTCCTAAGTTTGGACTTCCCGGGAGGTCACCCAACCCAGTACTATTCAAACCCAAGGACGCTTAACCCCAAATATCTCAAGACCCTTAACCGATTGGAAAAAAGGGTGCACTCTTGTTCATGAGCCCTTTCCCTCTATATTTAAACCCCATGGATCTTCTCTCAAGTCATTCCCTTTGATTGCTTATAATCCACCATGCTTCCCTGCAAGTTCACGCCCTCGTGAACGAAAGCTGAGAGCCACAACGCTCCCGAGAGCCCCACTCTCTTGACACCCTACCCCTCGGGTTGAGCCCAACGGGAGCAAACTGGACTAGCCAAATGTCAATCAACATGTGGTGTGATTCCCTTAGCCAATCAACAGAGTCGGACTCGAGGCCCCTCTGATACCAAATGTAAGCTCCTGAGTTTGGACTTCCCGGGAGGTCACCCAGCCCAGTACTATTCAAACCCAAGGATGCTTAACCCTAAATATCCCAAGACCTTTAACCGATTGGAAAAGGGGGTGCACTCTTGTTCATGGGCTCTTTCTGTAAGCAACCAAAGGGAACGATTCGAGAGACAGTCCATGGGGTTCAAATATAGAGGGAAAGGGCTCATGAACAAGAGTGCACCCCCTTTTCCAATCGGTTAAGGGTCTTGGGATATTTGGGGTTAAGCGTCCTTGGGTTTGAATAGTACTGGGTTGGGTGACCTCCTGGGAAGTCTAAACTTAAGAGCTTACACTTTCCCTTTATATTTGAACCCTATGGATTGTCTCTCGAGTCGTTCCCTTTGGTTGCTTACACCTTCTCTACATCAATCTCTGGAACCTAGATGATGGACTGATCCACGATATCACCAGAGTGTAAACACACTTTAAACTTACTCACATGGAACGTTGGATGAATCTTCAAACTAACTGGCAAGTCCAAAGTGTATGCAAGATCCCCTACACGCTATAAAATTGTCCAAGGTCCACAATACCGTGGAGACAACTTAGCACTGCCACCTCCTTTTAGAGACCGTTGTGCATCCGACAGCTTAAGGAAAACCTTGTCACCAACTTTGTACTCTTGATGACGATAATGCTCATCAGCCAATCTTTTGTCTCGTTCTTGAGCTTGCCTCATGTTCAATTTTGCCAACTCAAGCTTGTCTTGCATATCCTCTAGGAAATCACAAACATGAGGAACCTGAACCAAAGCCAAATTCAAACTCACAAGAGACCTAGGCTCATAGCCATACATCACCATAAAAGGAGATGTGCCAATAGCAGATTGATGAGCGCTATTGTGAGCAAACTGAAGTAAAGGCAAGTATTTCTCCCATACTCCCTGTCGAGTCAAGTTTCCCACAAAAAACCGTAGCATATCTTCTAATAGCTGATTCATGCACTCTGTCTGCCCATCAGATTGTGGATGCTCACCACTACTCATGCTCAATTTAGTCTCTAGTTTCTCAAAGACCGTTTGCCAAAACTTGGATGTGAACTTAGGATCCCGATCACTCACAATGTCACCCGGCAAACCATAGAGACTGAATAACCGGTCTACAAACAACTGAGCCAATTCAGAAGCTTTTATCATTGTCTTCACAGGGAAGAAGTGAGCCATCTTCGTAAAACGATCCACAACAACCCAAATAGCATAATTTCCTTGAAAGGTTTTGGGCAAACTAGTGATAAAGTCCATCAAGATGCTATCCCACTTATTCTCGGGTACACGTAAAGGATGATAGAGGCTAGCAAGCTTTTGATGATCAACTTTGACCGCTTGGCAGGTCAAACAACCACGTACGTACTTCTCAACATCTGACTTCATCCCAGGCCAAAAAAAATGCCTCTTCACCAACATATACATTCTCAATACCCCCGGATGCCTAGCACTTGGCACATCATGACACTCAACCAAAATCCATTTGATGAATTTGTCAACACGAGGAACTACTAAACGTCCCTTCTTCACTAGGATTCCATCTCGTATTTTGAATGACGCAAACTTGTCACCCTTCAAATCCGTAAAGGCGTCCCTCAACAAAACCTTCACACGAATATCAGTGATAAAGGAGTCAAAGTTAGCAAACTCCTTAAGCTCATCCAAGAGATCGTTGGATAGCTTCACGAAAGAGATAGAATTTACCATCCTGGATAACGTATCAGCCACCTTATTGTCACCTCCATGCTTGTACCGGATCTTAATAAACATTTCCTATAGGAACTCTTGCCAACGAGCAAGATGGCCTCGAAGATCCTTTTGTCGACTGAAATATTGAAGAGACTGATGGTCTGAATCCACATGGAAGTCTGATCCATATAGATAATGTTGCCATCCTTGATTAGGTCAATTCCACTGTGTGGCATCAAACTTGTGGCTTATGAATGTGAGAGAATGCCTAATGTGAAGCAATACAGCCCCAAAAGCACTATCACTCACATCATTGCCTATAATTTCCACCACAGTCACCTTATCATTCATTGACCCCTTCAGAACAACCCTTGCTCTGATGTCCAACTTTGTGGCAACGAAAACAATTGCCCTCCACCTTGTCCTTCTCTGGCTGGTCTAAACGAAATTTTTTAGCCTCACTGCCATCTTCATTCTTTGAGCCATAACGGAACAACGATTGTTTCTTCCCTGAATATGAAGCATTGGCAAGCTGGTCATCACGTTGACTACTCCGTAGACCATCTCATTGACCAGAGTTCACCAAGTTGACTGACGGTTCGGGCGAAAAGATCTGAGCCTTAGTGATAGCATCAGTCAATATTGCTGGAAAATCCTTCTTGACCTTCTGCTGCACATCCACCGAGCTCAATCCTTTGATGAAACATTGCACCTTTAGCAGCTCATTATAGGTGCCTATGAGATTAAGGCAAAGATCATGGAACTTGCGGGCATACGCATCCAAAGACAAAGTCCCCTGTCGAATCTCTAACAACTGATTCATGAGATCAACCTCTTCAAACTTCTTGACAAACGAAGCACGGAAAACCTTTGTTAAATCAATCTAAGAAGTCAGCTTTGGATTAGCTTTAATGTAGTTCTTCCATCACAAAGAAGCATGGCCCGTAAGCTTCGTCACAAAAAAATTTATCTTCACCTTATCCTTACAAGGATTGTGAGACCAACAACTTTCCCACAATTCCAACCAAGAATTAACCTCTTGACTATCACAAACATCCGGTGATGATTTCCATTCCACGATACTATAATCCTTGGCATGCTTAACGTACCAATGGTAATCATGGACATGAGATTGATTCAACCCTTGAGGGTTCATGCGAAGCAAGAAATCCTTAATGAGATTGACAGAATCCTTAACCTCCTTTATGTCACTCTGAACCTCAGAAATTTGGCATCTCTGCCGCACAACAACATCATCAAGAGTCTCTTCCACATCGTCATGGCTATCATCACTAACGATACTCCTCATCAGGATCAATGTCTTGCTCACCCGCCATCCCCAAAAGAACGTGCTACTCCGATACCAATGAAACAAACAAGAGAGCGAACCCTAAGCCAACCTCCCAACCCTTAAGGTGTTACATCCTTAAATCCCACAGGCCATGGAATATTCTCAGAATATTCCTGTGGTTCGTGTTATAGAATGTAGAGTCCTTGGAGATATATCTCATGTTTTGATCTGAGATAGATATCTCACACTTCATCTTGCATGCTAGATAGATTTCTCACTCAATATCTCGTTCTTCTTCCATGCTAGGGGCATGCTAGATAGATATCTCACTCAATATCTCGTTCTTCCGCGCTAGATAGATATCTCACTCACTATCTATCAATATGCATCAAGATCTTACGTGAGTGTCTGTTTGTGCAGGCCCAGTGTGATTTCTCCCGATCCTGCAGTGGCATAACTTATGGCGGCAGCACCCTCTGATTGCAAACTGCGTGAACCAAGCCGGTGGCACGGTGCACTCGCAGATTGATCTAAACACCTGCGTGGGCAACAACAACGGTCAGCTCGACTGCTCGAGCGGTTACTTCCAGTTGTGCACCAGTATCCAGTACTCGGGCACCACCATCAGTGCAACGTGCACCAGTGTCTCCGGCCAGGGCATCTTCTCCACTCGTGATCTCAACAGTTGCGTCCGAAACAGCAATGGCAACCTCCAGTGTTGCCGAGAAATTCTTAAATCTCATCAAATAAATGTGATGTAGGTTTAATCTAAGTTTTGGGTCGGTGGCAATGAGCTTAGAATGATTTTTGCCAAAGAGCTTACTCCCATATTTCACATGGCATGTGTCAGGTTCGGAAACACTTTTCCACCTTCGTTGTTATTCAGCTAACAAA